AGGCTATTATGTGCTTTATTGTTCACAGAAAAATAGGAGTCTCAGTATGGCAGAAAACTAATACCACACACATACTCATAATACAATAAAAACTATTAATGAAGTGAGCCAAGCACGAAAGTTTTCTTTCTTTACAGACTCCATGCTTTGCAAAAATTGTTCTGTTGGGAGCAAATAAGATGACTTTAACATTTTTTTTATCTGAAAAAAAAGCATTCAGCACTCAAAATTGTCTCAAGAACAAAGAGAATGCTATTTTGATCTATAAAAAACAGATATGTGCCAAAAGCACCTATGACATACTTAAACATTATTACAACTAAATTTGAAATAAACAAATGAATTATTGCCCTCTGCTGAGTTGATGTTTCTTTTCTAAGGTCATCTATATTTCTAAGGTCATCTACTATGATTAGAACTACAGTCTTTAAAACAGTGTTGACTATTTTGCATTGCCACTTTGTATGTAACAGAAATACATACATATTTGTATGCAAACAATTAGACTTTCTATGTAAATATGGGAAATTGACAACACTTCATATTACAAGCATATACAGTTTTAATAATGATTTTGTAATTGCCTGTATCTAAGATGAAGAACTTCAGCAAAATATTTTGCAAGGATACATCTAAGTATTTCCATAGGTCCTGAAACAATTAAAAGATGGTACAATAATAACACTGTTTTCCTCTATAGTTCAAAATAATAATTTAGAAATCACTCTGGAGTTATCAATAATATAGAAAAACCTCCTCTATTAGGTCAAGGGCAACATTTGTTCACCTTACTTAAAGATCATTAAAATACATCCTTAATCATAACATGTAGTTCATTACAAATAAAATTGCTTCTGGTTCAATAAAACTAATTAAATGTAAATGGTATTGTTTACTGCTTTATGGATCTTTTGATATAAATCAGCAAGTCACTATTTATTGAAAATTACAGTGACCTCATTGCTGCTAATAAATTTACTTGATCACTTAGGCCAAAGAAGGCTATTCAAGAATATGCACACTATTGCACATATAACTATGAAACCAAGAAACCTAACCTGGGTGTTACAATTCTTACAGCATTAAATGACTTGTTGAAATTTTAATTCTCTGATCGCATTAAGTGGTTTGGGAAGAGAAGAAAATCTGTAGTGATCATCTTTAATGGTGTCATCTGTTCTTTAAGAAAGCTCTAAAGTTTTGCCGGTTTATTTATTCTGGATGTCACTGAAGATAAAGTTGCAGTCCGACACTGATGATAGAACTGACAGGCTATGATAACGGAAGAGATAATCTTTTACTTCAGAAAACTACAGAAATGAAAATGAATGACAATTATGAACAGAGTATTTTAACTACAGTACACAACCAAACTGCTTAATCTGCTCCAATACAATCCTTGTTTCTTCTCTTTTAAACATTATTTTATATAAGCTTGTTTCTTATTGTTGTTTTATAAGCTTGTTTCTTATTGTTGTTTGTTTTATATGTTTTGCAGTGTTTATAAGGTGAAGTGCCCTTTGGTTCTACCCTTTTCTGCTTTAATCAGGACTGTTTAGCAGAATCTTTTTTGTTGTTGTTCAAATAATTTATGTAAAAAAAATCAAGATTTTTACTAATTTATATCCAATTTATCAATAAGGTCAAATGTTATCCCATGGGCTAGAGTTATATCCTAGTTAGGAACATTAAAAATTAAGCTGAATTGTCAACACTGAGGGTTAAGCGCTGCCAGAAAGCCATGTCTTCTGACTTGGAAAATACTTATTAATCTGATATATTATGACTTCTTAGTGGAAAGGAAAAGAATTCTATTCCTAGTCAGAATAGAGTTCCCAAAATGATAATTATAGACCACTGAATGTATATTTTTATTATTAATTCTAATTTATGTTACCAAATGTTTTATGCCAAGCATATATTAAGACATTCATTACACAGCTTTTCAGCACTGAAAACTAAAATGGTTTATTCCGTTTAAGGTAGTAGTCATTTCTTTAAATCTTAACTGTTTTATTCTCTACAACTGGAAGAGGTAAAATTGGTGACAGGTTTTGAGTGTAGCAGTATTATGGACAAAACTGTACCGAATACAATAAGAAAGAATTAGGGAAGAGGGATAAGCTTGAAGGATCTTCTCAGCCATTTTAGTAGCAGCCCAGCAGGTGGCATTCAAGAATTACTATAAAACAGAAATCATCCATTCTTTTTACATTCTAACCACAAAATCTTTACAAATGTTGACAATTCGTGGAAGATATTTGACAAGCTATTAAATACCAGTAACTACTTCCAGGATAACTACAGATTGCCAGGATCTGTAGCACTCAATGCAACAGGATTTAATAAAAATGCATAATTTTATTTTCAAGAATGGAAATTGCTGCTGCCATTGTCTTCACTCATTTATTTGGTACATTATCTGGTATTGTGAAGATGGTAAAAGCAGTCATAATATATAGTAATAAATATACCAACATTCAGATCCTAGGACTTCTAGCTAACAGAGTTTTCTCTAGCACTATTTCATTTCCTATAATGCCTGCCTTCTAAGAGTCTTCACAAAACAACTTGTCCTCAGCAAGCCGCATTGACGCAAAAATGGCATGCATGTGGTGATGCCATGATACAAATCCCAGGCTTACATACGCAACCCAATGTCTGGGGCAAATAAGTAAGTTGTGGAAATTTCCTTATTTAATTGTCAGGGTTCCATTCCAGCCAAACTGCAGATAATGAAACCGTGAATAATGAAACCATAAGTACACAATAATTCCATAAAAAACTGCCTACCATTTGCACACGTGCACATATATTAAATGTACAGAATTCAGAGATATGTGAAATTTACCACAGATACCAAGGTCTAGTTTGTATTTTCTAATCATGGATACATCAAATGGAAGATAATGAGACCACCTATTCTTAGAAAACTATAGTCAGAGAAGACAAATGAGAATACTGTATTTTCAAATAGTTTGTTTCAAAGGAACCTATCTACAGGAAATTAGTCACTGAAATTCCTGTGCCCATTTCCTCTTTTGGCAGATTTCCCAGCTTTCTGTTTAATACTCTATACATCAGGACAGCAACACATACTAAGGGTGGAATCTGAAGAACTATCCCTTAGTTTTAGCTTAGGGGATGAAAATATCTATCGGACTTTTGGGTGCTTTTCTTTGAACAGCTGTGTTTCTTTTACTTTCAAAATTAATCATGTAGCATGTCAGGGATATTGTTTTGAATTAACAGTTCAAAGCACCATGGACAGATGTAACATCTTGCACAATTTGTGGCTCCTGGGCCATTAAAAATGTGTGTATCCCAGCTCACCGTATGGTTCAGATGGCTTACAACTACAAGAACAGCCGTTATTTATAAAACAAGAATGTGTTTTATACAAAGCAAATTATTACATTCTGTATGTAGAATTACATTCTATATGTTACTGTGAAAAATACGTTTTGGAAAACAACATCAGAATATCCAATACCAAAAAAAAAATTTTTTTTTAAATAGCCCTATCTTTATTTTATTGCATTTATATGAGGCAAATTAACAAAAATTCTCACGGTAGCTTTATATTAAAACAGACCCAATGCATTAAAGGAAAAACCAATCCTTTGCCTACACCCACCTAAATTAAACACTGTAATTATTAGTAAAAATTAAAATATAATAAAGCTCATGGTACCATTAAAAGACCAGTTCTACAACTCTGTCTTATCTCTGTAAATTCAACTTTCTGAATATCACTGAAGTGGTATACAGTAATAAAAATGCAATAATGAAATTATTACATCATAGATGTTATAGGTGTGTATTAACAAATATGTGCAATGTTATAACAATACTTGATTTATGTCTTTTATGTTCTCCAAAACTCAAGGCGACCTAGTTAGCATTCCCTCCTTCGACCTTTATTAAAACAACATTGTGGGTAGATTGACTGAGATAATGATTGGCCCCACATCACCTAGTGAGCTTTGAAAGGTTTGCATTGGTTTCCAGTTGTTTCCTGGGCTTAATTTTAACATTTTAGAATTAATGCCACCATTTATATATTTTATGATATAACAATTATGCTGTATTATATAGTTTTTAAAGATTTGATTTATTATATGTATTAATCATCCTGGAGTCAGGGTTTGAAAGTAATATTATTAAAATAAAAAATAATAGGTTCCCAATTTAAAAAAGAATTTGAGATTAAATAGTAATAGTTAAAAGGTCTAAAAAAAAATTAAAAGCACTTCCTTCACCTTGTGCCTACATGTGACTCTCTGAAGAACACATTACATGATGAGAAAATCATCAAGAAAAGATTCCTAGTAGCCATCCATTTCTGCTCATTTGGCAGGAGCCAACCTCCCACCCCCGAAAAGATCTAAGGATTTGATTTGCCATATATGGAAAGAAGTAGAGGTGTGCAATATTCAGATTCAAAGCTGAAAATGTACTTTGGATTAAGTGTGAGTGCACTTACCATACCTGTCACCAGTGACAAGGTGTAATCACATGCCTCCTTACCACAAACAAATATCTTCCTGGAACCACATGGAAATGATGCAAGCCTAGGAAGATGTATGGCTTCTTTAAGGATCTAACAACAAATAGAGCATGCCTCTGTGCTGGATTTGAAGCAACTTTCTCACTTGAGATCCAAATACTGCATACCTCCAGAAAGTTAAGCTTTTGAGAAATTGGCTGAAGTCATTTAAAAATATTTGAAATGGGCCTTTAAATTTGGCCCATAAATACAGTCATAAAAAGTAATAAAATTGTGATCAACAGTCTATGGATATTTTTAAGAAATTCTGAAGCTACAACTTATACATTATGTCTTATCCCTTTATTTCACTATTTTACTGTTTTAAAGTTTCAAAATATTTATTGATTTCAAGAGATTGCTATTATATATGTTGGTTAAAAAGGAATTCCAAAACAAATAATTATACAACTGCAGTGAAAGGACTAAAATGTTGAACCACAATGCTTACCCCTAAAGCTGGTAATCTCTGTGTGCAACTAACAGCAACTTTTAGTTTCCAGTCTGTTTCTCCATCCAGCTGATCAGTTCGAATAAAACAGGAACCTTGAAATTGCAAAACCAAAACAAAACCCCAAGAACATTACATGTTTTAGATTCCACTAAAACAGAAACTGAGCTATGAAATTTTTTTTACTGAAGTCTCCTACAATTCTGTTAATTCTAGTAGAGCGTAAGAAACAGAGAAAAAATTCGATAGGCACTTTTATAAGTACTGTATTTCAAATTTTAAAACATTTCTATTTTTTAAAAGATGGACTACAGTCTGCACAAAATAATTAACTTCTAGAAAATCCAGAGCAAGCATTTTTCAGACAGTTACTGAAACTGAACACACTGTAAATAAGTGTAAGACAACATGAGAACATTAGACTCCTGTAGTATATTCTAATCAACAGTCTATTCTCCATCATACTTTGCAGATACAAGGCATTTCATGGTTCTCTTTACCCTTCCTGTCAATGACTGCTCTCATCCATCAATTTCATTTAGAATTATGCTATAGATCAATGCAGTTCAAGACCAGTGTGGCTCCTCTGAATGGTTGACTGCACATATATTCATTTAATAGAGCTCACACTATGACATGTATCGGCGAGCTGCATTTCCTCTCCACTTCAGCAGTTAATTTCATCAATAACTTATCTCATAGTCCGTTTCCCTTTTATCCAGAAAAAGAGACTAGTTTGTGCCAAGTCAGCTTTCAATACTGATCACTACAGCAAAACCTAAACAATAAAATGCTCCCCTACCCAGACACTTTAAAATCATTCTTTAGCACTATTGGCAAGATTTTTTAATGTACATGATAAACTAATTCTTAAGTTTGCATAATGAAGTTTAAAGAGCATAAAATTATATAGGCAATACCAAAGATTATGAGAAATAATTCATGCCAAATGCATTTACTTTTTTTTTTACTTATAATTTATAGAAAGTTGATTCTGATTTAGTAACAGAACAGACTCACTGACATCAAGAGGATATCAATTCTATTTATTTTAGTATCTAAAAAGCATTTAACTGGGAACCAACCCACAATTTACACATTATTTTTATCAATATATGTTGTCAAACTGCACCTGCTAATCAAGTTTTTTAATGACAACAATATTTTTATCTACCACAAGTTTGGTGGTATACAAATCGTTAGATTTAGAAAAGTCATTTGGATTTTTTTTTGCCTCATTTGTTTCTATCTGATGCTTTGGGGAACTATCTTTCCAAACAGGGCTTTCCAGTTAAAAAGGAAATTTGGATTCTAAAAGATTTACAACAATAAGGTATCTGTTTCTGTGTAGATATTCTATTCAACTGGTGGAAACTAGTATGTATTCAAATAATAAACTACTGCACAGAATTAAGTCATACCACTATATGCATTATTATATTAATACAGCCTTATTTTTAAAGCTCAGAGCAATTTATATTGGCATAACATTCTGCATACATTTAATTACAATAATACTACATCAGTGATTACTCGTAGCCCAATCCATTATCAATGCCAACCAGCTTTTTAATCCTCTAGCATTAATCAGTGCCAAGGTAGTTTTGTAAATAAGCTCACAAAAGTTCTGGCCTTACAAAAGTATTAGCAACCTGTCTGCTGAACCATTTATAAGATTTTAAGTCATGTTGGAAAAAACTCACTTTTTCCTAGAAGCCTCCCATGGCTGTGTTTTTTTGGGAAATTCTAACTTACCAAAACTAGCTTCTGCCCAATTTGGCGTATGTCTATAATGTGCCCAAGTTCGTTGGTGAAGCTTATTTCTTCCCACCTACTTTTCTTTCCTCTGAACCCGGATTTATAGCAGAAATCAGAATTACTTGGCTGTCAGAACTCAGCGAAATAATCTACAGAACTGTAATCTCTGTGTATTACTGTAATATTTTTCAGTCAACTGAGGGACAATTAGCAAATCTGCATTATAAAAAGTCTTAAAACCACCATTTCCTCTTAACATAGCTGGAGCTCAAATTCAAATAGAGTTCTTTTACACTTTCCACATGGCACTTTCCCTCTTTCCAAAAACAAAGATCAACTCAACCCAACATACATTTACTCATAAGTAAGTCCCACTTTGTTCTATAGGATGTCAATGACAGTAAGACTGTAGCCCATCATTAGTCTAACTTATTGGGTCATGGCTGACAAAAACGATACAACAGCAAAGCTCTTCATAAAACAAAATGAAAGCTGCAGGCATTAAAGAGAGGCTTGATAATTGATGAGAGTTCAATCAGCACAGAACTGAGCATGTCTGATTGATTTTTATTTATTTTTTAAAAGGCTAGAATCATCCTGGGGAATGTGCTGCAAATCAGGAATTTTGTATGACCACCTGGGGGCACTTTCTAGTCACCAATGGCAACCAGGCAAGATGTTAATGAGAAGTCCAAGCATAGAGAGATTATTTGATAAGCAAAGAGGTATTATTTAACCTGGTATCTAGTTTGGAATTTTTAAAATCTTGCTTGCTCTCTTAACAGCAAATACAGGTTTTGAAAGGACAATTCCGAACACGTCCTGCATAATTTCAAGAAATAGAATCTGAAAAGACAGGCTTTTTTTTTTTTTAAAGTAATTTTATTAAACATTAAAATTAAAAGGATAAAAGCTAATGCAAACTAAAAAAAATAAAAAATTAAAAAGAAAAATAAAGAAAATAAAAATAAAAATATAATAAACAAAAATATATATAAAGAAATGGCTTCCCCCTTCAT